CTGTTGCAACAGAATGTGTATTTTTGATAGCCTTTTGATCACAATTGCATTCAATCATGTTTCCTGTCAAAGATATATTTTGGGCTTAACATACGTTTTCTTTCCTAATTCTCAATGCAAGTTCAAATTTGATGCAAAAATACTGAAATATATTCATCTGGCTTTATCAAAGTGATTCAATTCAGAAGATGAAGTTAGAGGTCTTTTGGAGATCTCCCCTATACCCTTACAAAGTAGAGTTTCGCTTTGTTTTAGAAAAGCAGCATGTTGAACTGCTTGAAAGTCAGCTTTGTGAGGTGCTGTGAAAGGGGATTTTGTCTGATCGTGAATATGGCCAAAGAACTGATAATGTTTAAGAACACTAGTAATATTTGTGCCCCATGATAAAATTTAGGTGAATAAACATATTTTAAGTTCATCGTCTTATATTTTAAGCTCTCTTCTCATTTTACCTTTTAAAAGTATATTTTAAATAATCTGATTTGCCAGAAGCTGGGGGGGGGACACACACCTAGTTTCTATTATGTTGGTACTGCTTCTTGGTACTTCTTCAGTTGGATATTCTTACAGCACGAAACTGTGAGGGCTAAGAACACACAACTGGTCATATATAGTACAAATTGCCCTAAGTAGTAGTTGTTGGGCAAACAATGAAGAAAAGCTCTTGCCTCTACTGTAGGCACTTGTGAGTGTCCTGCAAACATCTATTAAACCAGGGCTGAAAAGAGAGGAGCCTGAGTTAGGTAGAACTTTGCATTGATCCAGCAGGGCTCCTTTCATGTTCTTACCAAGGACACATCTAGTTCAGCAGCCAGTGAGCTTCCAATGGTTGTCTGCCTAACTACAAGAACAGACTGAGGGTCAACTAGAAAACACACTTGGATTGTTCTGGAAGACGTGCTCCCTCAGGAGACAAAAGACATACAGTTTGTCATAGTACATGACTTTCCTTATCTTACATTTAGCATGCTTTGTTTGAGATTGGTCATTCAAAGGTTAAACATGCACATATCTTATTGCACATCTCTGTGCAAATCACACTGCAAGGGTGAAACTGATTAAATGAATGAAACAGGAATTTCCTTTAACATTTAGTACTGAGATAGCCAAGACTGTTGTTTTGTCCTAAAACATCTTTTAAGTCTTCATGGCTAAGTGCCAGTGATAGATCTCTCTTTTATGATTGTGTGCACCCAGAGATAAAAATGTTGCGAAGTACCCTATAAAACAGAAAGGAGAGTGCATTGTTTTCATGCAGGGTTCAGGTACTTCAATTATGTATTGATAAGCACCTTTGGACTGGATGAATCCCAAGCCGGAATTAAGATTGCCAGAAGAAATATCAACAACCTCTGATATGCAGATGATACCACTCTGATGGCAGAAAGTGAGGAGGAATTAAAGAACCTTGTAATGAGAACGAAAGAGGAGAGTGCAAAAAACGGTCTGAAACTCAACATCAAAAATAAGTCGCACTGGCCATGTGACCATGGAAGATTGTCTTCAGACAAAACGCTGGCTCTATGGCTTGGAAACGGGGATGAGCACCGCCTCCTAGAGTCGAACATGACTGGACAAAAATTGTCAAGGGGAACCTTTACCTTTACCAGGTACTTCAATTATGTATTGATAAGCACCTTTACCTACTTGGGTGTTAGTTTTATCACTTGGGTACCCTATTCCCTTCATAGGTTAGGTTGCCCAAGACTACTCAGTGAACTTCCTAGCAGACTAGGAGCCTTGATCAGTCTTCTCGGGAAGGCCCCAAATATCCATTCCAACCCACTGCCCTTCTGGTGACAAATATGTAGCAAACATACAGCATTTGCTTTGGATTAATTCCTAATATAAATTAAAAGCCACCCTGGGTGTTGGATAGCATGCGAGTGGTCTGTTGGTTCAAAAATACTAGTCCCTTAGCTCTGTGGCAGGTATACAGTATGAAAGGAAAACTTATCTGAGTTATTTCTTGGCTTTTTGTGGGACCAAGCTAAGCACTATTATCTGCTAAAAACTCGCCCATTTTAAAAATCAGCAGCGTTTCAGAGTCATAGTGCCATTTCTCTGTCTAAAATGCAGAACCTGAACCTTAAACTACAGTATTCGTATTTGTAAGAGGTAGCAGCAGACTGACTGCTGCCATCTTATTCTTAATAGTGGAAAGCTTCTACCTAATGTCAGTCTTACTAAAAGGTTCCTAAACATTTGCCAGAACCATTAAAATGTCTGTTGAAATGTTAAACCAGCAAAATGGAACCTGGGGGAAAATAATCTAAGATGGGTGGATTTTATCGGGGTAAGACAAGGAGACACATACTTTTACACAACTACAGTCATCTGTATCTTTATTGGAGTTCCAAGGAAACCATTGCCTGAGGTAGCTTGATTGACTGCTTAGGCATGCTTCATTTTTTGTTTTCTGAGCGGTCTCTATTATGTAGGCCCGTTGCTTAGCAGCTTCATTATAGAATCTACATTGTCAAGTAAGAGCCCAGTTCCATGTGAGGAATTTCATTGACTGATTGAAGACTGTTTGTATGTGTGGGTGGGTGTATGATTGGTCCTTTCTTTTAAAAAAAACACCATCCAATTTCAAATGTGCCAAATTCCCTGCTGACAGGTGATCAGTACCAAATTGCAGGGACCATCAACAATTCTGCAGACAAAACTCTACACAAAATCCTTTTCTGTAGAGCTCGGTGTCCAAAGAAGAAGAATCAGGCGAAGGGTTCCATTGCTGTTCAGCTGTGCTGCAGCTAGAACAACAGCAATGCATGTTCCCAGGTATTTCACATTCTGCAATTGCAACATCTCATTCAATGCCATTATGCTGTGCTGTGCCATGAAGGCATACCAAGCACAGAATGAAACATGCCAAAAAATGACCATTTTAAAAACAATCAAAGTAATATTAGCCTAATAAGATGACACATACACAGATGTGTTCTTTGCTCCTTCCCAATTCCACTTTACACAGCCTTGCAGATCACATCTTTCGTAAATACCAGGTGTCCAAATAAACTGCTTGCACTCCCACAGTAAACAACTCATTGTAAATGTAAATGCAGCATTATGTAGCAACACTTATCAGCCCCTCTCCCTCCGAATGGCTTTTGACAAGCCTGGGAGAACGGCTGAGAGACGCCTTAGCTGCATGACTGGCTGCCCAACCAGCAAAAGGGGACACAGCGCTATTCCACACCACTTCGAAGGGGAGATGCCCCGAGGAACTAAGGGCTCCTCTGTCCAAAGAGGGCTCATGTTTTGGGGACAGCAACAGAGTGTTTGCAAAAAGAGCCTTTGATGAACAGAAGATCAGACTAGATGCTGCATCTCTCTCTCTCTCTCTCTCTCTCTCTCTCTCTCTCTCTCTCTCTCTCACACACACACACACACACACACACACACACACACACGTTAACAACTGAGCCATGTAAGACAAGGTGCTGTGATTCTTTGCCTAGAGAGCTGAGTTTCAACTCCTGCCACAACATTCAAGTCCTTCTGTTCAGCCATATTAAAAGACAGAGCTTGGGGAATTCATCTTGTTAGGCTACAAACGTCACCATCCCAGAGCCAGCATGGTCAGGAACCAAGCTGGTTGGGGATTCTCTGCAACCAAACACAGTAACCTTCTCAAGCACTGGTCACAGTTCTGGAAGGCCTAATGGGGGCCAATACCCTGGGCGAAAAGATCTATCGTTTCCATCAGCCTACTGTTCTATCTGGATAGTTATTTCAAGATACAACAAGCTTTTATTTCAGACTATTGCTAAAATGCAAGGCGCTATCCCTGCTACCAGGCCTGGTTATCATAATTGTCCCTCCCATTTTCATAACCACTAGATAAATCGCATCATAAGTTGTGAGAACTCTGCTCTGCAGCGGGTATGCTACCACACACGTGTCAAAGGTCTGTCCAAGGAATGGCATCCTGCCTGAAAAATGACAGAAAGGGATTGAGACTCATTACAAGCACCTGTGATAATGTGAGGCTGCTCCAATATGTAAAAAGCCATTCAACATATGAAAGACACCTTGTACTGAGTAGAAACTCCTTTTTTACCCAAGGTTCCTCTTGTCAAGCATTCTTCAATTTCATGCACCCTGCCAGAGTGATGCTCAGAAACCCCTTTGATATCACCCTCCCTCTTAAACTGCAGCCTAAATAGGGTATCTTTTACCAGAAGTAGCGACAGAAGGTAGATGTCATTGTTGTGACAGCTGTGAAATGACTGCAGAAACAGGTATGGTGACACAGGAAGGCAAAGCAAAGACAACACCATACATTTGGTTAAGATGTGGCAAGCAATCAGAAGCCACAGAAATATCTATGGTTGGCAAAAAAAAAGAAAAAAAAAAAAGACTCTGAACGCTTGTTAGTGGCCCAAAGCCTTTATAGGCACAGCAGGTTGTCCATGTAGTTAAACAGCTATATTCAGAACGATGCCAAAACATGCCATATTCCACTGTCTCCTTTCTGGCATAAGCATACAATCCCTTCAGAGAGCAGTAACAAGCCACTAGCATAGGTTTAAGCACAGTGCAAAGTCACACTTTTGCCAACATGCTTGCAATCTCTTTGTTCAGTCAGATACACGTGCCTCAGGGACAAGCAACCAGCTTCCTTTCATTAGCAGGACCTAGCAGTGTCCTTTGGCACATCACAACTCACGTAGCACATACACTGATAGGTGTTGTCCGCAAGACAACCGATGTGAGAAGTCCACAGTAGTCCCCTCAGCTAGCAGAAGATGCTAAGCTTGCAGCCAATGGCCTCAGAGCCAGTGAACGAGAAATTACTGGGATGGGTTCACGGCAAAAGTGAGGGAGGGGAGCCACTGAGACAAAACACACACACACACACACATTCCTACACAAACATTTCATGGCAGGGTATGTAGTAGTTTGCAAAGCAGCTCATTTTGGAAGACAGTCAGGAAACAAGGCTCTGCATCCCAGATGCTTCACTAGCTGCTATCCCTTAGGGATTTGCTTACCTGCAGAGAGACATCTTTCCTGGATGAATGGATTTCTCCGCTCTCTGGCTCAATAGCTTGCGATGGACTCGGCTGGGTCTCTGCAACAGAAAGCTCCTATCTTAGCAAAGCCCACCCACCCCCCAGTTCTCCTTGAGCCCCCCTCCAACCCTGAAGCACATTCCACACTAGCTGATAAAACTTATCCCATTTGCTTTACAGTGTCTTCACAGTTTCTAAACATATTTTAGACTTGTCACAAATGTTAGCAGACAATGTGCAACAACATAGCTGGAGCAAAAGTTTAAAGCTGTACTGCAGCAATGTGTGGATGAAACCACTGCCACTCTTCAGCATGAATCAATAAGGCACAGGAGCTGTACATCAGGGTTAGGTGTTTGCTGGTGAGCAGCACAAAGCCAAAAGCAAAGATCTCCCACTTAGGAGAAGGACTACACACCTATTACTTTGCTGTACAGCTTGCCTTCTCTTTGTATCCTCAGAACACCACCCCTCAGTTGTTACCAACAATGAACACCTCATCCAGTCTCCTGCAGTGAACCACACAATTAAATCTGTTTCTCAATGAGATCTGACATTGGAGAAAAAAAAGCTTGCTTTAGAAAAATAAATTTCAAAATCAGATTGGGTTTGGTGGAGAACACTTTAACCTTGAATAATTTTCTCGCTTACTGAATATAGGAAAATTCCTTTCCCCTAGCATGGTTTTGAAAATGTATGCTTAAGGCAGATGGATTTGTAAGCACTGCTGTATGACCGATCTGCTTTGCATGGGGGGGGAGGGAACCAGACATTGTTCAGGACACCATCAATAGAACCAGGAGGTGAGCAGCACTGGCTTCTTGCTAGCTAAGCCTCCTGCCAGATCTGGGGTTAGCACCCTGGGATTCAGATGGCCAAATAGTTAATAGCCATTGTGGCTTCATTAAACGCACTATTGGAGAAGGCAGAGAAGGAAGGCCCTTTTGCCCAGCCAGAGAAGTGGAAGGGATATTTCTTTCAGTTTCTGAAATACAAGATCAAGACTTCTTCTCCCTAAGAAATAAAGACTGCAATAAAACACTTGAATAAGTGATACTAGGACAAAAGAGAGCAGCTCAGCAGGTGGTGTTCACTTTGAAGCTCAGACTGGTGCCAAGCCAAAAGAAAAGGGAAGGAGGCAGCAGTAAAGTGTGGCTAACAGCATCCTTTATGGTATCCCAAGGGAGGCATTCCAGGGAAACATGAGGAACATGAAGCCCCCAACCCAGCTGGCTCTCAAGGGGGGTCATCAATATAACTGCCCAAATGAAAGGATACACAGAGAACTGAGCTGCCTGCCTTTCTCCTGAGCCCAGAATCACAAGGACTGGGAGGCCAGAGGCCGGTAGGACTTTGTGTTTTTTCTAAACAAGTGAGTGTGGCTTCTCCAGAAACTATCCATTTGAAATATGCGGGTCTTCTTGATTTAAAATCCCACCAAAGAACATACAGTCTTGTCTGAAAAGGAAGGATGTGACCTTCCTGACTCAAACTGCAAGCGAATTAGATAAAAACTTGTACCAGGGCAAACGGTGATCTCTTCCTCAGCGTGATTCTCGGTGGAAATGTCCGGGCTTCTCTTATTGTCCAGAGGGGTCAAGGCAGAAATGCTATCAAAATACAAACACACAATAAACTAATGGCACAACCCAGAAGCCTGGGAAAGTTAGATGTAGTCTATGGACCTCTGATCATTCAGGAAGAGGAGCAAAAGAGAATGCAGAGAAAGAAAAGAATACAAAATGAAAAGAGCCCTCTCAAAATATATGACCACACCAGGAGCCCCTCTGTTATAGAAACACCTGCCAAAAGGAAAAGAAACGGCTCCTGTGTCACATAAGAGAAGCACAACTATCTACTCAAAACCGCAAAAGCTTCTTTCATGCTCTCTGTTCCTGATCACAGAAGTATTGCAGGTAGCAGGGTGGCCTAACCGCCTAACCCTTAGTGAGGCATACTCCTCAGAGTAGGAAGGGGTGGAGCTCTGCTTGACACCAAACTCTTCTTTTTTCCCATCTTTTCCTGCTTTTTTTTTTCATTTCATCACTGCACACGGCTCTCTAAAAGCAGCAGGAATCTGACACAACTCAAAGCTTCCCTACAGCAAAGTTCTGCCAACAATAACAGAGCATCTCTTTCAAGGAGCATTTAACCAAGCTTGTCTCCTCTCATTTTGACCTTCCAGTGCTGCCATTTTCTCTGCAAAATACAACCTCTTGTCACAGGAAGATACAGACTGAGCCACGATGTTACTGCTATCCCATCATCTTCAAGATTCAGTGTGGCTCTCCAATTGGATTGATCAAGTATGCAGCTGCTCTCTTGAAAAACACAAATCCCCATCCTGACAAAAAAGATTTCTTAAATTCAATCATGAGCCACAGTGAGTCAGGAACAGCCACCACAGATTTATGATAAATAAGAAAATCCTGATGAGAAACCACAAGTGACTTCTTGTACACTCTCTCTAAATAAACCATCTCAAAGCATTTGTTATGAGCTCAGCTTACTCTGTGTAAACCATCAGGACTCACTTCAAAAGGCCTTACACTAAACAATTTGCTATGACATTTATAAAATGGGCTAATCAATTTGAAGTCAACCCACATTGCTTGCTGTACCAGCTATCTCCTAGTAACAAAGCATATAATCATTTATTAAAATCTCAGTCTAATGTACTTTGCACAAGACAGGAAACAATGAAGCTTAGTAGCCCACAGGAAACAGGGATGCAAGATCAATTTGGCTAAAGCCATTTCCCAAATTACTCTGGCAGCTGAAGTATCAAAGGGAAGTGTCAAGCCCACTGGCCAAGGTACCTGTGCGTTGCCCAGGACAGGGCTCTTGCTGGCCAGCCGCCAGTTACCAGATGGCCAGATTTAAGGCACATAAAAAGGGGAATACAGCAGCCACTGTCAGAGGTGCCATCAGATAAAGTTGGGATGAGTGACACACAATAATCAGTCTTTATCCTATCAACCTGATGAATGGGGCAGCTGCTGTTTGCACCACAAAGATCCCAGGGCCACAGATTGGCAAGCAGACTGTATGTACTCCATCAACCTTGGCTGTGGCCTGAAAAATGAACAAACCACCTCGTGCAATCAAAAGAGCAGTTGCAGCACCCACAGCTTGAGGAGGGAATGGAAGAAGGCTTAAGGGTAGAAGCCCTCACCCTCCTGACATTTGCCATTTTCATGAATCCCATCCCTAGGTGAAGATTGGGGGAATTTTTCTAATCAGGCCCTGGCTAACGAAGACATTAAATTATTATACCCTAGTGAAGAAACAGGGACATTATTTTCCAGTGTTCAGTCCCAGAACCTCCTGACAGACTGTGATAGCAAAGAAAGGGATTTACTCTTGAATCTCTCATTCCAAGTACAATCACTTACAAGGGTAAAACGAACCTCCTCTTTATTAGATTATGCACATAGTAGCCCTTACTCTAATTGCAGAGTGGGAAGAGCTATCACATCAGCCAGGCTGCTCCTTCATTGAGCATTCAGTCAAAATGCTGTTAGATCAATGAGAAGACAGCCTATCGGGCAGGGGCAAAAAAAAGAAAAAAAGAAAAAACTGGCCTCCTGCCAAGAGCATTTTAATTATAAAACATGGGGAAACTAACCTGAGAATCATGTAAATTTTCACAGCTAGATATGTGGCTGAACAGCACATATTGAAACTTCACTGGCAAATTACTTCACGAATCTTCCCCATCTGCACCACCTCCAACAGTTCCCTTCCTTTCCTGTCCTCCACTGTGAGCCACGCTAGCCAGCACGTTTCCCTCCCAAAGCTCAAAGGAAGAAGGCCTCTCAGAAGGGACCCCAGAGACAGCCACCGTGCTGGGTCTCACTAAAAGAAGGCAGCAGGGACCCAAATGTGAAAAGCCAGCAGTAGCTTCCCTGTCATGATATTTAATCATCAAAAGCAAATAGGGTTTAGAACCTCCACAACCATACAAGCCACTCGTTTATGCTTGAATTGGATTTCCTGGAACATTGCTCACCATCTCAAGAATACAAATATGCTTTAACTATTAGGAATTTTTTCTTGGTTTCCACATCTGTTGTTGCTTCTTCAAAGAATACACATGTGCACGTGCACATAAGTGACTCATTCTCTATCGCTCCCCTCTCTCACACACACATGCGCACACACTCTTCTCCAACATGCTGTACATATACAGTGGTGCCTCGCTAAACAATGATAATCCATTCCACTGAAATTGCTGTTTAGCGAAATCATTGTCTAGCGAAAAGCATTTCCCCGTTGGAATGCATTGAAGCCTGTTTAATGCGTTCCAATGGGGAAGAATCGTCATTGTCTAGCGAAGATCGGTCATAGGAAAGCCGCTTTGCGAACCGCCGATCAGCTGTTTAAATTGCTGTCTTGTGAAGCTTAGGTCCCGAAAACTCCTGCTTTGCGAGTGCGGAGGAAGCTGTCGAAATCGTCGGCTAGCGAAAATCGGCTTGCAAAGCAAGGACCAAACATTGTCCAGCGAAATTCCCCCATAGGAATCGCTGTTTTGCAAATTGCTATAGAGATTGCAAAAAGTCAATGTCTAGTGAAAAAACTATCATGCAGGGTAACTGTCTAGCAAGGCGCCACTGTACCTCTTAGAGCACTTCAAGTTTCCAGCTGCAACTTTTCTTCCACTACCCCTGATTATCGCTGTATGGTGTCATATCAAATTAGCTTGTCAGCTGTTTATCCCAAGGATGGCACTTTCTTATCTTTACTGCAAAGGCGCCTTCTTACTTTACCATATAAAGACTGAGATACATTGCTAATGGTCACACTCCTCTGTTGGAAGATGCATACAAAGGTAATGTAAGAAGGATAATAATGCATTTCCATGATCTCAGAGAAAAGAGGGCCAAAGTCATTGATCACTGTGCAAACAAGAAAGAGTTGCTTTTCCTAACTGACAGTCTTTAATAGAAGAGAGTCATAATTTGAACAGATAACGACCATAGGTTCAGACACACAATATCCATGTTACAGCTTCCTAAGGACCCATCAAGCCTCTATGTCCCATAATCAAGTTCTTTGAAATATACTTGCCTTTGTGTAATCTGCACAGGTTCCCTTTCTTCAAGCACATCTTCTGCAAAGAGCACTTGGGAGGCCTAAGAACAAGAAAATAACAAGCATCCACTTTTTGCATAACTGTGCAACTTAAAAGTGCCAGAAATCATTCGGACACAGAATAATAACAGGTGGAAAAAATGGGAGAGCCATCGTGATTAACTTGATAGGTCAGGGTAGGATCAGCACACCTACTAACATGAAGGAACAACACACCACAAACAGAAGGCTATGTTGAACAAGGCACACCTACTGAGCTATGTGAACCAGGCAGCACAGGAGGCAGTGAAGAGCTCTGATTAATGATGCAAGGACCTAAGAAGCATTTAGCCTAAATTCAAAAACCAAAAAATCTGGCAAAAATCGAAGCTGAGAGAAAGATTGTTAGGAATACTACTGTATATCACCAAGTGAAAACGGTGATTGCAACATTGTTCCCAGCTAGACAAAAATAATAATGATTCCACAAGCTGTTCTGAGAACCTAGAGACTTAGAACTGAACACACCTACTGTAAACTAGGCCTGTGCCACAATTAGCCTGTTGGTTATAATGTTGGAAAATGGGTTGCCATTATTTGTCAATGGAAGTGACAATGGACTAACTGGTGTTAGGATCAGATGGCTGCAAAGATGAGTGCCCGATCACACCAGTTGCTTTAACAGGAGTGATTTCCCTCAATGTGACCTTTTAATCCTCCAGAGATTCACTCAAGCCTGACCCCCAAAAATAAAAGGCCTACAGCTGGATCAAAAAAAAGAGTCCAGTTTAGTCACAAGATCAGATTGAGCTGGAATGCATTTCCTCACCTATCATACAAGTGCCAGGAAATAGATCACACTGGGTGGCTCCACAAGTGGTTGAAATTGCAATCTATTTCCCTGTGTGATCACATCCTGAATAAGAAATACTATAACAGCAGAATTTGTGTGTTTCTGAGTAGACTTCTGTCTAGAAGGGGGGGATAAAAATCCAATAATAAATAAATAAATAAATAAATAAATAAATAAATAAATTATTGTATGGCAGTTCTTAAAAGTGGAAAGAAAGAAAGAAAGAAAGAAAGAAAGAAAGAAAGAAAGAAAGAAAGAAAGAAAGAAAGAAAGAAAGAAAGAAAGAAAGAAAGAAAGAAAGAAAGAAAGAAAGAAAGAAAGGAATTTTACTATAAAAGTTCCAAATGATTCTTTGAATTTGAAAAGCCTTGCCATTTTCTTGCAGAGGTCCAAAGACCTATGTAAATGTTTTCAATTTATTGGACTATCTTCTTAAAATGTGTACCATATTTTTGTATATATACTCTGTTTAACTTTCTGGCCTTCGACCATAATAAACTGAAACTGAGCTATGCCAGAAATAAGAGGCGGAAACTTAGGCACAATGCTCTTTTTCATAGGCTCTCTTCTTTGCTTCTCCCTTTCCTCTAATTTTTCAAACACTCCATCCTACCTGAGCAAAAACAAATGACAGTGATACCAGCACAACAACCTGTATTCCTTCAGGCACAGGTTACTACCTGTAACAGAAGACTAAAAGTTTAAACATTCCCTCTTCCTAGGCTCTTAGACCTACCAGTACTGTAGGACTCAATAGATTTCTACATAAGGGAAGACAGACAGCTGTAAGGTCACTGGCCACTCTAAAATCCGAGTTTTTAAGGACTCGCTACTCATCACATCTAAGAAGTCCAAACTGACTAGAATGGACAAATTCAATAGTATTAACACCCAAACTATTGAAACAGGGTGGAGCATAGCAAGCCAAGGTGGGCTACATACTGGCTAAAATCATGTTGTGCCATTATATAAAAGGTTTGACATTTAAATACAAATTACCATAAATTAAGAAATTTCCTTAGGCATTATCTATTGCGCACTGAATCACACAACTTGGCATGTAACAGATAATGTCTATGGAGATTTCTTAGCTTACAGCAATTCACCTCCCAAAGTTATGGTTTTGTGTAAGAGAGCAAAAGAATTTCCTCATTGAATGCTCATAGCGAAAAAGGTAAGTAAAAAACATCCTAATGGCTCAAGCAAATGACTGGTGTCATAACCCCTGGAGAAGAAATTAACTCTCCTCCTGTATGTGCACGCGCTCTCCCCCTCATATAAAGACAGGGTTACTAGCCAGTTTCCACTGAGGGAATTTCCGCCAAGCAACCCTCCCTGCCTTGGAGAATTAGTCATAGCATTATTGTTTCAGTCCACCTGTTTGGTACACAGGTCTCTAGCTGCAGTTTTCATGTCTCAAAAGAAAAGAGAAACATCCCAACAGGGACCCACTGTGACATCCAATTATAACCTAACAACACATCACCTAAATGAATCAAGCTAAGTGCATCAAGCTCAGTTGTCAGCTTGATAATTAAGCAGTTTGTTCAGAATCCAGAGTCTGTTTAAAGGCTGTTCAAATCTGTCAAAGACTTGCTTTCTTGGTTACGAGCAACACAATCTTCTTTGCTTCCAATCTGGATTTGGCACACTGAGGGAGGCAACAAGAATTATGGCAAGGGATGAGGCTGCTCTTCTCATAATATCTGAGATACACAATGCATAAACAAAATCAGTAAAGAGTTTTGTGGCACCTTAACAACTAAATAGTTTTAGTCTATTTCATGAGGTGGAGTCTACAAAAGTCTCCTTAATGAGTTGCAGTCCAGAAAAGCATGTTATGGGCATTTTTCAAAAAAGCAAAATATACTGCTTATACTGCTGCTCTATAGCACTCCGGGAGGGAGTGGAAGACAGGAGGGTCTAGCGTGCTCTGGTCCATGGGGTAATGAAGAGTTGGACACGATTTAACGGCTAAACAACAACAACAACAATAGCACTTAAAGCACTCTCTGGGTGGTTTACAATTTAATTATGCAGGCTACACATTGCCCACACACACCCCAGCAAGATGGGTACTCAATTCACCAACCTCAGAAGGATGGAAGACTGGGTGATCCTCGAGTCAGTTACCTGGGATTGAACCAAGGTTGTGAGCAGAGTTTTGGCCGATGTACTACAGTTTTGCACCTCAAGGCTCCTTATTAAAACTTATTCATAATTTTTAAAAAATTTCCTTATTAAAACTTAATTCATCTTTTAAATGCTATAAGACTTTGTTGTTTTTTGCTTCAACAGACTAACATGGCAATACCTTCTCTGAAAACATATACATTATAACACAATTTCTGCCTTCTGTAAGCAGTAGCCTATGAAGTGGAGCAGAGTGCGGATAACTCACTTGTGTGAAGCATTGCCCCAAATTTACAAGAGAAGAAACGAGGGAGACATGAAGCCTGTATCTGCCATAATACCTTATTTCAGTCTTATTCTGGACAACGAATCATGAACATTTTTCATCCAAATAGACAAGAGAAGAGTATATCTGTTCCTGAAGAACAGTGGGGAGTGTGAAGGGCATCACTCAAGCTCCGTCACCATTACAGCAGCATTTCACTCTAGCAGAGCTGAACAAGGAACCTCTAGCGAGGACCTGAAGGTAACTGTAGTTACTGCCTTGATTAACAGCTCTGCAATTCAGTAGCGGCAGGGGGCACAGTCAAGCAGGCTTGCCAGCAGCTCAAACCACCAGGAAAAGGACAACACAGATTTCACATTCGGGGCTAGAATCGATTCGATGCCATCAAAGAGTCAAAACGCAGCTCAGCAAGGCAGGCGGTGGAAGGATGGTGGTCGTGGTGGTAGCTGCCTGGTCTGAATGGCCATTTTGGTATCTTAAATACTTTGGGGCTTCTAACTACTGTCAACACAAAGGGCCCTGAATGAAATAGTGACAAAGAACACTGAAGGTAATTATGGCAAAGAAAAAAAATGCAGTGCTCAAATCAGGCTTAAAAAACAGGAAAGTGGCCTTTGAATTACCTGCCATCAGCTTCATGTTCCATTACAGGCAGAAGAAAGGAAAGGTGTGTTAAGAATCACCTGCCACAAAGCATATTGTCAAGCTCAAGCAAAGCCCTGCATGGAAAGTGCTTTAGTGTATATTTATGAGTTCGAACTTGAGCTTTTTACATTTTAATTGTGTTTTCAGGTTGCCCCAACAACTCCATTTGTTTCCCATGACCCTAGAGCCATTTTAAATGTCAAGTTCATTACTCCCTGTTTTTGCTGGAAGATTGCTTCAGATTTGCTCTGATTCCTTAAGGAAGGAGTAGAAGGGATGCAGTCAAACGTTTTATGGAGCTACTCCTTCTTCCTCTAATTCATTAGGAATTACTATTCAGTCCTAACAAGGGGCATAGCACAAGTGTTCTCTCAGATGCCAATGGTGTTAGTAGGCCCTTTGGAGTCCCTTGGGTTGCTATCATATACCACTCACCAAAAAGTTTTTGCCACAGAGCCTGAATTTTTGACCACAGAGGTCAGGGGATAAAAACTGCTTTGCCACAAGCCTATTCTAGTCACCTCTACCTATCATAAACAAGGAAAAGGCAAAGCCTGGGGCACAAGTCCAATACTTTCTCCTTCACAGGTCACCTTTAAGGTGTGTTTCAATATAGCCTCTCCAAGACTGTGAGACCTGAAGCACAGGCTGCACTGTACTTTCACATTTAAACGAAAATGCAGACCTGACAGTTTTTCCTCAGAGTGTTCAATATTACAAGACAGAATATAAATATCACAAAACAAGTTAAGTATCTTTCCATCACCAGGGTAAACAATCAAATACACTTGAAAATAGTAACAACAAGGTTGAGCTTCAGTCAGACAGAAGATAAAGTTATACAATGATCTAGCAGCGAAGTCATTATGAAAAATGAGGGTTGGAAAAGGCTGACACAAACCTAAAATACAGCAGCAATAAATACTTCATCTGACTAGCAATCTGTTTAAAACAGCAGCTATGGCCAAGAACTGCCTCTAGCTCCTGAAATGAGACAAACAGTGACACCTAGTGGCTGCCAGGCAAGTAATAAACTTGCACGTTCAGAAAACAATTAATGCAAGAGGAATACATAATTTTTGGCACAGTTAAAATTGCAACAACTACTGCAGAGATTATAAAGTTCTTCCTATCGTATCTTATCCTCTCTCTGTCCAGCAACACAATGAATACGAAGGAAACACTGCGCATGAAAATTTGTCACTGCAGCATAGACAACTCCCAACAATTTAAACTGTATTATTACCAGTTTTTCTTCACACCTCTGTCTCCGCAACCTGACTTCATGTTATGGAGGTGGTGGTGATTTTTTAATTGTTGCTCTTGCTAGACAGCTACAAGTCAGGATGCCTTGCCAACACACTAGAAAACCCTCTAGAGATTTGCTACCTTCTGCTCACCCTCGGAGTAGGCTAAGCTACCCACATAAAGCAAAAGACTAGCCACTCCCCTCTTCAGATTTTAACCAAACCCACATTAACAACATTTACCTGACAAGAGCTGCTTGCACGCTCAACCTGATGCTCAGAATATCTCTCTTCTGCCACTTTCTCCTCCAGATTTTTGTTAGGTTCTCCATTTGTTGGACCCAGTAGCCAGGCAATGCTCTCAGGTTCCTTTTTCTCTTCTGAATCTTCTCCTTCCTGCTCATCTGCACCCTCACCTCCTCCAAATGCTTCTTCCTCTTTCCCTCGTTCCCTTTGCCTCAAGGAATATGAGTTGGGAACAACCGGCTCCCCAAAGGGCTTCTTCTGCAAGAGCTGCCGCTGAGCCTGTTTCAAGCTTTTCTGGTAAACTTCAAGTTGGCACATGATGACTTGGGTGTACCGACTGGGATCCACACCTTTAGGGCAGAACGGGATGCCCCAGTAATAATGCACGGTGTCTCTCTCTTCTTGTCGCTGGCATTCCCTCTCAGCCATATGAAGTGTGCAAAGTGACACAGCTTTTCCAGGCATTTCAATCTTTCCTACAGGCTCACTAGAAAGGCAGGCCTTCTTGCTCTGCTCCACCTCAGAATGTGGACTGCTGGAATGGTTTAAGATGATGTGCTCCCAAGGCACTTTCTGCAGGACTTCTGGGCAACCTGCAAGGGGCTCTCTTTCTGAATGGTTTTGGAAAAGCTTGCCAGTTGGCTTTAGAGGGCTGCATGCTCCTGTAGCAAGTCTCTGAGGTGCCAGTGGCCAAATGCCCCGAGGCTTTGGGGGAAATGTGGGACTTAGGGTAACTGGCATGTCCTCTCCAAAACTGAGGGGTGTGTCACTGGAGCTGCTCCCTGCTGGTGAGCAAGAGTTTTCATTTGACCTTGCAAAAGGCTGGCTCTTCCCTGGAGATACAATTATACTAGAAGCTAGTGAGCTTTTGACTATCTCCTGGCTTAACCTCGTCAGTACAACAAAGGGCCTCTTGGCGACATGTGTCTGTCCATTCTCATCATCAGCTTTGTCGCTGGGTGAGAGGGAGCGGCACTCGGAGCAAGGCAGCTGAGCTGTAAGGAGCTCAAAATCATCTTGCCCAGCTGTGTGGCTTTGTGCTGAAGACTCTGGTGCCTGGGAAAGAAGAGGCAGAGCAGCTGCACCAGAAGACTCAGGAAGCTGGCAGCTCTGGAGGGGAGAAAACACACACATGCAAAGAAGAGTGATTTGCCTAATAAATGTATATTCCTAATTATGAAATCAAAGTGACTGCCATACTATAGAGGCAAAAGATAAAAATGGACACTTCCGCACTAATCTATGAAACAGTAGCTGAAGGCAAAGTTAAATGTTAGCCGTGAGCAAGTCCATTAGCAGACTGAAGTGTAAAAAATGTATTGTGAGCTCGCCTTGTTACAAGACTGGCCGGAATTCCAGCTGGAATTTTGAATCAAATGACATGATACCTAGTGTTCAATATTTAGTATGAGCTGGACATCTTTCTTCCCCCCCCCCCCGAGGGACAAGGGGGGGCCTCCGCTTTNNAGGGAATAGTGTGGGCCTCTGATTTTGATCTCAACCACTCTGCATTGAGCAGGGAAAAATTAAACTCCTGCCTCTCAACACTTTATTTTCCTGAACCCTATGCTTGTGTAGGTACTACACAAAAATATGGGGGTCAGGCATTGTTTTTCATTTTTTTTAAAGCTGCTGTGAGAGTTGGGAAGGAAAATAATGTAAGAGAATAAGTAGCTAGGGAGAAAAAATTTGTCACTGGCCACTTGCTTCCAGATCAGGACTTGTGGATTAAAAGGGAGTCTCAACTGCCTACTACATACTGCACATCCTGACATTTAGATAGGCCAACCATGAGAATACCTTTCTGACCAACCAGGGAAGGGTGGGAATGAGAAGAGGCCTTTCTGGACAACACAGATACCTTCACTTACACTGAGGCTCTCAGCAATGGCCTTTCTTAGGAGCTCTTCCTCTTCCTCCTCTTGGGAGTTCAACTGCCTAGCTTCTTGCTCACTCATTTTCAGAGCCAGGGCAAATTGTTCATCTTCTGTCATCTCTGGAAAAAAAGTAAGAAAGAGGAAAGCATTTAAAGCAGCAGACTCACAGTTCTTATGCCCTGTAAACTCAATTCTTACACCCAGTTTGGGGACTTTCACCTTCACAGGAAGAGGAAAAAAACAATTATAAATTGGATCAAAAGCTGTTACATCTCAGCTTACCTTACTGTGTACATTCAGAACTGGAACAGACAGTGCTAAATGCAGAGTAATGCATTTTGTGCAATATCAAATCATTGAACCAAAAAGTCAGGGCATTAAGTTAAGGTTCCCATAGTGATCTCAGCTTTGACTCTTCAGGTGAATTCATCACAATGAACTATTTTATCACATAATCACCCAGCAGCTGCTCTGTTTTGTTCTTCCACAAGCAATGCAGCATCAAAGAGTACAGAGGGGAAAGCGGTAGACTTTGAACATCGGACTGTACATGAACAGAGTTTTCCAATAAGGTGCAGTCTGCTGGCAGAGCAGAACAGTGTTCGCTCCTTTCTGCTCCACAATCACTGTTAACACCCCAGACATCACAATACTCTGTGATGTATGTATTTCCACAGCGAAGCCTCCCAAAACAAAACTGAGCAAAAGTTGTGGGCCACCTTCCCCAAACTTTGCACAGCAGAAGGGCAGAAAGCAATTTAATATTCACAGACTGAAAGAAAACGATAATGAAATATATTTTGGGATGCTCTCTTAGCTGCATCCTAGAACATTTTCTCTTTTATTCTACTACTGTATTTCCAGGACTCTCCAGCCATGCTGGAGCCCAAACAATTAACTTGGGAGAGCTCTGCTCCTAGCTCAAGATTCCACCGTTCTCTGCCTATCCTGATTTTTTCCCTAAAAGATTTCCCAGAATATTCTAAAAAGAATAAATGATTTTTAACAAATAAAAAGACAAAAACAAAGCTGCTGTGTAAAATATCTATTTCCTGAGATTTTAGGCCCACCACTCATTTGGGTTAAAATACCTATGCGGGGGGGGGGGGGGGAGAATAAAAAAAGCAACTCCCACCAACTCTCCCAGTTTTACTGAATATTAGAAGAATGCACTGATAACACACTTCTGTCAAATTACCTGTAGGATGATTTTCAACAACCCATTCCTGAGAAGCCCTCTCTCAGCACTCTCATCGAGACAAGAGCATCTGAGCAGGAAATGCCATACTCAGAAGTTTAGAATAAACTAATGAGATGGATTTTGAATAAGTAGATCACCTGCCAGATAAGATGGATACTGGTCAGATGCTTTAATACCAAAAGTAAAGAATCTCAATACCAAAAGGAGCAGGAGCAGTATGCTACCATATACTTCTTAAGAGCATACTGAAGCAGGCACACTTCACACGAGAATAGTGGATCACTAAGCCTCACTCCTCCCCACTTCTCAACTGCAGGAGAAAGATAACCAATTTGGACTGAGGAAAAAAACTAGCAAAACACAATATTTGGTACAGCCTTTGGATAGGTCATACTGATGCAACTGCCTGATGTTGTATAGTTTCATTTTGCTCTACTTAATGGGTGTGTTCCTTCAGCCATGTGGAACAGGACTGCAAATGGTGTCTACACTCCTGTCCTTTACAAAGGATAGGCAAGGCAGAGCAATGAGCAGTTGTTGAAAGTTGCATTCCAAGGCAAGGTCAAGGCAGAGTTCAAGAAGGTATGTGAGTTAGCAAGGTCCAACCAGAGAGCAAACAACAAGGTAAGGGCAACACCAAGCAAGGATGAACTTCAGGTCCTGATGTCCAATCCAGCCCTCTTATGGTCCCAATCCAGGACTTCTGGATCTCTCCAGATGACCACACCCTTTTCATTCCCACCTTTTATACAGTTTTTTCCCATTCTAAAAGGCTGAAATGCATCCACTAAGACTGAGTTACAGCCAGTAAAAACTCTGAGCTGAAATATGTGGTCATTTTGTCCTACCATAGTTTGGTCCTGTCCTTTCAGGAGTGTGGCTTCCAAAAACCTGAAAATGGGAATTTGGCTCTAGGGTTGCATGATTATCCATGCTTGTCCAAGAGCAAAATCTGAAGGTGGCCAAACACAGGGGAGAGCTGCTAGGCAATAAATGGATACACAAGCAGGGACTGACACACAGCTACTGTTGCAGCAACTCTTCTGAGAGCAGCGCTTAAAAGCCTGAGCACTTAGAATTCAATTCTGGGTTCAACTGCAGTTCACTAGAGCCAAAAGAGAAGAAATCCTATTTGTGAGGAGGGTCCCACTTTTCCCACAATTTGCACCTTTTCTGCAAACAGCACAGTGCATATGAAGTCTGTACCATTAGACACCTGTATTCCTGGAGGTTAGAATGCCAGTCAATACCCATTGTTAAATCAAAAATGCAGTGCTCCAAGGATGCAGAGCCAATGTTGCCTCCTTGAGAACCTAGGATCTCCCTGGCCAGCCCCATGACCCTCTGAAACAATTGGTTTCCCAGAGATAGGGCCAGAGAGAAAGGATAGATTATCCTCAGACAAGGAATCTCCTGGGGTGATGTCCAGGAGTTGGGCAGGAGATTGTTCTAGATGGAGTTGCACTAAAGGAGCAAGTGCATAATTTGGTAGTATTCCTGGATTCATCTTTGTCACCGAAGGCTCATGTGACCTCACTGGCTCAGACTGCCTGGGACAGCTATTACCAATCCTGAACAGGGATTATCTGGCACACAGTAGTCCATGCCCTAGTAATCTCCTCATTAGATTACTGCAATGCACTCCATGTGAGACTGTCCTTGAAGATGACATAGATGCCACAGCAAGTGCAATATGCAGCAGCTGGACTGCTAACAGGAACATATTCCATGGTTCACAGGACATTGGTTCTAAAGGACTTGCACTGACTACCACTATGATTCTGTCCTGAGTTCAAGGTGTTGAGGATGACTGCAAAGCTCTAAAATGCTTGGGACCTGGATATTTGAAAGTGTCCCTCCATATATAAGCTTTCCCAATCACTGTTGGGAAAGACATCTTCCGAGACCCACATTGAGAACTGTTCATTATGTGGAGACGTGGTGGAGAGGTTTTCCAATTGTAGCAACCCGACTGTGGAATGTCCTCTCCTTAGATGCACCAACATTGGAATTATTTTGGCAAAAAGACAGCAAATCCTTATTTATTAGAGCCTTTGGGAGTTGAGGATCGTGGCCTACATGGTTTTTAAAGCAATGGTTTCGATGTTTTAATTTTATGTATCTTAAACTGTTTAATTTTAAACTGATTTAAAGATTTTACGTTCCTAAATTGTTTTATACAGCCCTATAACCTATCCAGAGATCTTACCATATAAGGCAGGCTATAAATATTTTAAATAAGTTTCATGACTATTCCAATAAGATGTTTTAAATTTTTAGTTGAATATTTAATTGAAACAAAGGTAAGAAGTATAGCAAACTACAGTGTTTTGATGAGCCAAGGAAACTTCTGCCATACTATGGCTTTATCACTGGATGGCAGAAAACTGGAACTGCATTACACACACAGACAGAGCTTGGGTAATGCAAACACTTAATAATGGGCAATATGCACATGAATTTTAATTCATTTTATTCAGTTGTATTTGACAAAGGATTTGGTGCAATTCAAACAGTTGTAGGATAGTTTAAAATAAGTGGAAGTGGAATGATCTAATTGAGAAAGTAGCTGAGTTTGAATGCCACCTGTGCAAACCCAGAAGCAATTCATTCATAGTGAATCTCTTATACAGTAATTAGTTCCTTTTTTCTGTAACTTAGCATAGCTTAAGTTACCTTACAAGTATAGCAAGGGATAATCTGCTCTTGCTGTGTAACCTTAACAGTGATTTTTAAAATAATCTTTACAGTTTACAGTTTTATAGTTCTAGTGTATGGCTTCATTACTCAGGTGTATTTTGTAGCATAGCCCAGTGGCTTGTAGCATTCTGTCATGTATGTTTTACAGTTACTAAAAATAACCTATTCTAACCACATTTGAATTAACAAGAAAATTATAATTCATGCTAATTAACTGTATTGGAGGGTTGTGCCTTGGAATATAGCTGTTAACTAAGTACTTTTCGGATAACCTTTATCAGTTCTGATTTCAAGGGACCTCAGTACATATAAAAAGAAACAAGATCAAAAAAATTATAGTTACCGGTCTTAAGTCTCTCATTTTGTAAAAAAATTAAAGACACACATTTGTATAAACAAACATACCAATTATAAAACATGCAAATAAAAATCCACCTAGAAAGCAGGACACTGCAGTACATAGCTTGTTGTTTATTCTTTGGTACTGCAAAATAAGACACTGAAAACACTAGGCAAACATTATTTTGGCATATTAGAGAGATAAATAAATTGTGTTTATTCTACTTTACAAACTCACAGGTGGACTGAAAAGCCTAAGTTTCTGCTCTTACAAAAGACACAACTTGCACAGAAGTAAAAGGAGCAAGCTGCCTTTTTGAGAGAAGCAGGGCATCTGTTCTGTTGAAACCACGCTGCGTACCCTTGGCTATCATGTACTATTCTGCTCAACATCTGATTGTGTCTAAACACTGTATGCAAACACTCACAATTTGTATGCGCTTGATGTTGATTACGCTGGTCATAAATTATGATGATTAGAAATTCTAAGTATGTGTTAGTGGTGTGGGCAAATACATTAAGAACTCAAGAGGCATAAACATACAAGCTGAGTATTGGGAATTCAACACTATCAGGTAGGTAGGTAGTATAAGCAGCAGATGGGGAACCACTGCCCTGTGCCTTTGGGGCAGAAGTTTTACATAAACACTAAGCTGCATGCAAGCCTCAACAGCTTGTCATAATGCTTGTTTGTTAAGGCCAGCATAACTCCCTTGTACCAAAGCTGGGCATCCTATCACACCAAAGATAGATCTAATGGTGTAGTGCTGAAACACTCATGATAATGCTATAGAACAAATGGGGAGGGGGCAAGGGGACAGTTTTAAGAGTATTTCTGAAGAAACCCCAACCTTAAACAAATTGAAACTAGATCAGAACCTTTTTACATGCTAATATGCAGGTTGTTCGGAACTGATGTTTCAGTTTTAATTTGCAAAGCGAATTAGAAGCAAAGTCCAATCAGTTTGAGTCCTAACACTTATTAATAAAATATTTTCTTCTCCACCCACAGAAAACATATACTGTAGCAATATTGGATTTATTGTACTCAGAATCATACTACAAGGAATGGTTTTAAAACATACACGTGACTTAGAAAACACATCTCAGACCACATTTCAAAGGAAAGCACTTCTCAAGGTTTGTGTGTTTTAATTTTACCCTGCCAGGAAGGAATATGACATCGCGGATGCACTTCAATTATAGCTCAGAGTTAAAAATGATTTGAAACTATAAAGCGAGAAAGGAACAATATGCCTTGAGCACTAAAAATACCAGAAATGTTCCAGCTTTGGAAATGGGCAAAAGATGTAGACTTTATTCTGTTTAGAATAAAGCTGAATCACATCACCTCTCCACAAAGGAGACTAAATCAGAGGTGATGTTCGGTTAATTAGTGATCAGTAGGGATGTTTTTAAAAATGAAGTAAATGGCACAGAATTGGAGAGGGGAATTCAGATTAAGGCTGTGGCAGAGTAGGACTTTTAACTACTTGCCCTCACCCACGGCTGCTATTTGCACTGGGAGAAAAGAAAGCTTTATTTTAAACATGCACACACAGACAGGCACTATTTACTTTACTAAGTCTAAATGGGCCCGGAGAGGAGGAGTCAAGCAATCCTCCCCTCCCCTGGCAGCCTCCTCTCTAAGAGACCAATGTGTCAGAAAACCCAAGCAGCCCTTTACAACTCAGACAGTGATTTTTATTTCAAAGAAATGAACTTTAATTTGCCTAAAAATAAACACTAAATGGCTAATTATAGTTCTGATAAATAAAAGAGCAGACATGTAAGTGGATGTGCCTAATTAATTATTGCTAATTGACTGCTCTAATATAGAGGATGAAATCTGAATCCAAAGCAGCAAACAGGAGGAAAACCTCAATATTCTTGCTCAGGCTAGCATTGTCAGAGGCACTGAGACCATCTCAGTTGGGTGAAGGACTTTTACTGCATGGCAAAAGACAAGCAGAGTCCACGCATGTACATGGGATCCGAGGGAGGTTTCAACATTATGGTCAAAAGCTGCTTGCATACTTATGACAAAATAACACCGTTGGTGTTACTTCTCAAAAGTTGTCTCAAAAAGCAGAGCAATCAGCTTACTTGCTGTCTGGTGTGATGAATCACGCAACTGTACATACGAGGTATCTACAGTGATCTCTTAACCTGAGGCAATTCGCGTTCAAAAGTTAGGCCATCTGTATTACACCAGTGCTGCCTACAGAAGAGTATTTTGGCCTATAAAAGTTGAAGGTGCCATGCTTCACTGAAATAAACCTATTTCACAGATGTTCTGTAAAAACAGGGGATTGCATGCCTTCCTGCTCCCATCTGCTGGTCAAGGTGTCATTTTTCCCGCAAAGAAACCTGCAGTGGACTGCTTACAGATCACATGGCATCTTCTTCCCTTGGAGGACACCTATTCCAACTACTGATTTGGATACAAAGTGTATTTGGTTATATTCTATATCCACATGCTAAACCAACACCACTCACTACAAATCTAGTGAATCAGAATGTACTGCTCAGAAACTACAGGGACGAGCTGTGTGGAGGAGATCACATCAAGATGTGGTCTGTGAAGTTGCCTGAAAAGCACAACACCCTAGAATGAAAGCAACAATGAATTCAACTTCCAAGTCAATGACAGAGTCATCTATGAGACCCATTGCGGATTAATCATGGTGTGCTCTTCCATTGTAACAACAAAACAATCTGCAAACTAGAATATTCTACAAATGGCTGTAAATTACACATACTATCTACAACTGACTCAGGAGAGGAATTAAACCTAAAGAAGCAGCAAAGGATAACTGCCATTTTTTTTATCTTTTGTTCCCATTTCTCAACTGTCACACAGCACAGCCATTGGTAAAGTCTCCATACAAAGAAGTGAGAGCAATGTCGTGCTTTGCGCAGCCATGGTGGTAACCTCAGGACCTTCATGAGCCCTTTTTCCCATCAAACATACACAATCAGTTTTAGTTATGGTAATTTCTGCACATTTGAGGCACATGTGGGCAAACTGTCCCATTGATAAAGAAAAGTAGTTAATCAGAATGGTTAGGCTGCTGGCACAGATGTTTTTGCCAAATACGAAGTAACAGCTGAATACAAAAAATCCTGGGCACTATTCATTCTCCCATACCCCCCACCTTTCCCAGCACATGTGAGACCTACGTGCAATCTTTCTTTTTGCTGCAAACTTCGCTCGATCCAGCCGTTGCTTTGTTCTCTTCTTCTGCAGATTGCATTCCTCTTTTGACTCCTGCTGCAGGAGGAGAAATAGAGTAAACATATAAAACTACTGGAGGTGCTGCTATCCGCTGCCCTTCCCCAGCCCTCCTGCCTCACCTTATTCCAAATTTCCAAGTCCAGGGGAGGAGAAAAATAAAAGAAAAGGCAGGCACAAAGGCCGACTCCTCAACTGGCAAAAATGTGACTTTCAGACACAAATAAAAGAACATTCTGTAGCTATTAAAAGAGCGGTGTGATAACTGTAATGAACAGCAAGAGATGCAGACAAATGTGTAAACAGATGAGCAGAAAAGGACAATAGACTTCACGTCAGTCCCTGCCATCCAGAGCACCTGCTGCATAAGATTTTAACAAGAAGTTGTTTTGCTTTTACATTTAGGAAACCATAAACATTGGAAATGGAAAAAAAAAGACCTTATTAAATCAATCAGCAGGCCTATTTAACAAGACAGGATTCTTCCTTAATACTGTAGGAAAAGTTTCATCCCGCTGGTTCCACAAAGTGAGGGGGCAGTTAGCTGTTTTTTAAAAAGAGAGAGAATTCCAATGTCTAATACCACTCATTATGAGATAAGACACCCTACTTTGTATCATATCTCAATCTAATAATTCCATTGGTTTCCCTCTAAGGAATGGAGGGGGGAGGCACAACTATCAAAGCAGTTATAATACTAAAGTCATCCTGAACTGTCAAGTGAGAACTTTCTTAAGAGTTAACAATATGAGCATTTGTCAGGAACAGTTAAGGTATAAAAGATATAACAGTAGAAACACAATTGCCAGCCACATCCATGCAGAGAAAAGAACAGCAGAAGCTGAAGAAGATGGACAGGGCTACACGGGATCCTTTTTGATGACTGGAAAGACTAAAATGGAAACTAACTAAAGAAGAAAGGTGGACAGGTTGCTAAGGTCAAATATAGTGGTCTAGCACAAGTGCATAGCAGGATTAAAGTGAGAAGAACAAAAGCACACAGTGAGCTGGCAACTAGTGAGAGATATCTGAAGTAAGCCACAGGGATTTAAGGTTTAAACAAAGATTTCCTCCAAGTCTTTGAAAATGATACCCATAGAAAATAGGCAAGTGATCAATATCTATTTTAAAGAAACACAAAAATTCATGGACACAACTAGCAATACTGACTGAAACAAAGATGGGGAAAATACATGGAAGTGTCAAAAAGGAAGATATGAAATAATACTTAGGGCAGAATTAAATAGGCATTTAGCCTTCTATTTGATCCACTGTAGGGATGGGCTGGTCCACTCCTTCTTCTGGCAATCACATGACATAACCACTACAGTGAACCTGTCCTTCCCCAGAACGTTCCTATCAGCACCTTTTGGGGACCTTGTCGGGGGCTTCTACTTTTTTGGTGTTGATTGGATTGCTCCTTTTTGGTTCACTTCCAGTCTGTACCATTGCTGGAAACAAACCAAAGCAAGACTAGAGCTGTCAACACTCCTTCTGCTGTCAATTTCCCATATTATGAAGTGGCTTAAGACAGCCACTTCACAATATTGGCAAATTAAGTACTTTCTTTGCTCCATGGAGGGACAGACGGAGTGAATTGCTATTATTTTTTTACATTCTATTAGGACAGCACAAATTTGCTATATCATTTATAAAAAAATGTTCTAAAAATTGAAAACTTCCTCCCAGAAGCAGGAGGAGATAGGTAGGGGCAATGAAGGATAATTTTTTCCTTTTTTTTATTTTTTGGTGACTCATCCTAGAGACTGGGTTGAGAGCCTGACAGCTGGCCATGGATTTGGCTGTGTGAAGATTCTAAATCTAATTTTTAAGACATATCACAAAGAAAAGGAAAACAATACCCCTTGTTGTCTCACCTGTTTTGCACCACTTCTAGGAGGAAGTTTTCAATTTAAAAAATATACAAGTGATCCAATACATCTGTGCTGCCCTGACAGTGTGTAAATTCATTTTCACTTCCTCAGCCCTTCTCCCCAAGCAAAGGAAGTGTTTAATATCCCAAAATCGGGAAGCAGCTGTCTTTTGGAGGGCAGAGGAGAGGAAAATTCATTACATTTAAAAAGAGTTGAAGTGATTCCCAAAAACAAACAAACTGCTACAGGCATTTGTTTTTGTTTTTTAAAATGAGAGCCAAGGTTTCAAAATGAGGACCAGCATCTGGAGGAAGAAAGGTCAATTATTAGAAGCAAATGTTGTAACATTACAGAAGAAATCATAATCCTTGCCTCTTGTCAATTAACTTCATAATTGTGTCTAAATTAACTGTGCTTAGGCAATAATCTAGGGCTCATAAGCATACAATCCCCTGGTATAATCAGAACAGCACTATAAGTATATAATGCTCATTTCCATTCTTCAGTCAGGAATAGGGAAACATTATTAATATGCATTGTGCTGTTTGCCCCACAGCCCTAGATATCAACAAGAATATTGCTGCAGCCCCAAATCATAATCTCTTCAGTACACGTGAAGTATGTGAAGCAAATGAAACTACTATAAAGCTGAAAATTTATTTATTTATTTAATTTATATGCCGCCCACTCTACCCAGAGGTCTCTGGGTGGCTTATAAATTGCAAGAGTCTAAAAGTAATTATAATCAATGGTAATAATGAATTAATGGATAAATAAAGGTGAAAGAGGTAGCAATTTTAATTCTGTGGCACTCAGTTCTGGGGCTCATTTGGCTTCATAAGGAATGTCAGTGAAGAATTTCCAGAATGTCAGTTAGTCAGGTTAATTGAGATGTGGTGGCGCTGTGGATTAAACCGCAGAAGCCTCTGTGCTGCAAGGTCAGAAGACCAGCAGTCGTAAGATCGAATCCATGCAACGGAGTGAGCTCTCATTGCTTGTCCCAGCTCCTGTCAACCTAGCAGTTTGAAAGCATGTAAATGCGAGTAGATAAATATGTACCACCACGATGGGAAGGTAATGATCTTCTGTGTCTACTCGTGCTGGTCACGTGACCATGGAAACTGTCTATGGACAAATGCTGGCTCTACACGCCCTAGAGTCGGACACGACTGGACAAAATGTCAAGGGGAACCTTTATCTTTTAGTCAGATTAAACTGACTAAGTAAAGGAGGTACCACCACGATGGGAAGGTAACGATCTTCTGTGTCTACTCGTGCTGGTCACGTGACCATGGAAACTGTCTATGGACAAATGCTGGCTCTACACGCCCTAGAGTCGGACACGACTGGACAAAATGTCAAGGGGAACCTTTATCTTTTAGTCAGATTAAACTGACTAAGTAAAGGCTATTATACAGTGGTGCCTCGCTTAACGAGTGCACCGTATAACGACGAAATCGCATAGCGAAGAGGTATTTGTGATCACAAATGTGATCGCATACTGATGGCCCTTATGGGCAAAACTCGCTTTGCGAAGATCGGTAAGCGTTTCGCTTACCGATCTTCGCAAAATGAAGCCCGACAATCAGCTGTTCAGCGATTCCAAAATGGCCGTCGGAAGCCCCAAAATGGCCGCGCGCAGCGTTTTCACACCCTGCCCTCACTTAACGAGGGCGCGAAAATGGCTGCCGGACCCGGGAAGCATCGCTGAACGGTGAGTTTTCGACCCATTTGGAACGTTTAATGCGTTCCTATGGGCTTTTCTGTCCCATTCAGCGATGTTTCGCCATAGCGAAGGTTAATCCGGAACGGATTAACCTCGCTATGCGAGGCACCACTGTACTTTGCTGATATAATAATAAGAGAGTGTAATCACTGGAAAAAACACAAAAATAGTAACAAAAGTTGAAGGCAATGGAAATAGAGAAACCCATACTAGTTGATCGATTGATTCAATAAAGTAACACACGGCTTTTAAGTTTGTAAGAAGTAAGCACGGCTGATCTTTTGGAGGTCATTAATTCATTGGGCCTTCAAGAGAGGGATGAGGTTTGACAGCATGGAACAACTAAGCCAGATTAGTTAGTCTTAGAACTGCAGAGCTGGTAGGAACCCTATGGATCACTGAGTCTAAACCTTGTTAAGGAGGCACACTGGGGAATCAAACTCCTAACCTCTGGCTCTCTAGCCAGATACCTAAACCATTGAGCTATCTAGAAGAAGAAGAAGCAAAAGCAACAGGCCTACAACAACTGAAAGCTTATGTTTTCGAAACTAGATTCCACTTGAATATTAATTCACAAAAATGTATAATAGTTTTTCAAGGTGGATAGTTTTGTTTCCAGTGAAGTTGAAAGTGCATAATTCAAATTTGTGAATTATGCTTAGCTAGACAACCAAATTGGAGCAGGCTGACTTTGGATAAATAGGATTGCTTAAAGTCATATAAGGTTGCATAGAAGTATGTGTGTGACCCTTGAATCTACATGCATGGATGGATGGTTTCAGAAACCATGGATGGTTTCAGGACAGGAAATCACACTTTACCTCAAGAGACCCTGTTTAAAACAATCAAGATAATCTTTCCCTTTAAAAGGAAAGATTTCTCAAGACTGTTAAGCAGCTGTACTCTGGAGGGGGAGATAAAACTTTCCATTTCTTTTTAATCATTGCTAGCTGACACAGTCCATCAGCAGTGCTTTGACAGGACTTTAAAAAAACACTCCTTTCAAAGCATCGCTTATGGGGTACACGTTAGAATTTAGTGTATAATAAGCACTATTATTTGTATTTTTTCTGTATTTTTGTTGTTACATATGTGGTGTTTTGTGTTTTTTTGTATTATAAAACAATTAAAAAAACAAAGCATCGCTTAGCAACAATTTAAAAGAAATGCAAAACTTCCTCTCCTCTGCCCTCCAAAAGAAAGCTGAGCAGAAGTTTTTCGTTTCTCTGGGTGATTAAGACACTAGACTGCTATGATCGTTAGCCAGCCAACTACTTTAGTTCAGTCCCAGAAATCACACATGTTGGAATCAAACAAAAACATGATGATCATACCCATGCCTACAAAACAGTAGCACCTGACAAGGAACCATACAGGTATGGGTAGAAACACTGTGGGGATAATCTGGGTTTTACTGGCACATTGCCTGGCTGCCAGAA